GGCCAGATGACGCCTTAAGTGGTTTAGAAGATATGTGTATTAAACTTGTTAAAGGGCGAGGCYGCGTCCTCTTTTTCAAAAAATAAAATAAAATTCCGAAGGTCCCCTTGCTACTATGATCCTCTGTACCAAATTACAACTTTATACCTATCTTATTTCAGTGATTAAATATGACACTTTATATGTTTTCCGTTTATGGCGATAATTTATTATATAAATAATTTTTCAAATCCAGGAGAGCTTTGAAACGAAATACGGGGTAACTTAATACTTACTCAATAAAGAGACCTTCGACGACATAATGTAATCCGACAAACCCTACATTATACCTCAGGAGGTAGAGCTTTCGAGTAGGAAGAGTTTTTTTCGAAAAGTCGACAACAGTAATTTAAATAATTAACAAATTCTTTTCTTTCGTTCCTAAGATTGTTCCGCTATCATTTAACCCTTTGGTTAACGAACAAATTCTCAATTACACAATCTCCTTTTATATTCCAATTACATGTGGCTGTTTATGAGGAATGCGAVTGTTTAATCCAAACAAATACTCCTCTGCATTACTCCCACAAATTACATAAAGTAATAGAGGTGTAATGCAGAGGAATATAAACCGCCCCAACTTCACRCAACAKAAAAGAAAGAGAAACAAAGAAAAAAAACTTTTCCCGCGCTTTTTACACAAAAGGCAATTATTATCCCGCCAACATATCAGCGAAACACAGTTAATACGGAAAGCGAAAGTGCGCCATCCCACGATAAAATAAAACATTTCTTTATATCTTTTTTTCAAATAAACAAGTGAACACGGAGAATAAAAGGGTTTAACAACAAAGTGAACAACTATCATACAAAGTACACGTCAAGTACAATCTCTTATTACTACACAAAACAATACGGATACAACCCAGGAATCCACCAAAATTAATCATCAAGCACCCGCAACGAGGGAATAAACCCAGCACGAAAAAAGGAATTACATATTTAAATAACAACAATACGTACATATGTATATTAATAGTGAACACTAACACTAGATTATACGAACTCAGTAACAAATTAATCAGTATTGGAAGCACAAACACATATATACTTGTATATACCCAAATTTATATTAAATTAAAGTTTTATAACTTTTGAACTAAAACTAACTACCTTTTAATTAAACGCAATCGGCCCCTTACGTCGACATACCCCGACAGCGACTTTCTGTTCCATCTGACTAATCTTTCGACAATCGCAGTAATAGTAGTAGTTTGTCTTCAACTTTTGAGCCAATTCGCATAATCACGTGTCAAATTAGTCCTAAAATGTGACGCTAACCATATCTTTTAATACAACTATTAGATGTGGTTTAAAAACCTCTTAGATACTCTAGCGGCATTAATATTCTGGATACCGCACTCAAATACATAGCAGGAACTCCAGATTTTGGCGACTTCCAAAGATTCGAGACCAGAACCGTATCCCTAATAGAAGGAAACGAACAACAAATAATAGCGAATTCAGCTACTCAAAAGAAAACAGACGACGGAAAATAATCTCTCTGAAAAGAAATGATATAGCCGAATTTAATGGAAATTACATCCCACTTTACAACTGGATGCCATAGCAGTGAGTTTTTGCCAGCTCCTAAAGAACGGTACTTGTGATTAACCAATATTCAGCAAAATGTATATCGAATTCTCCGATGATAACCAACCAACACCTGTAAAAACGTGTCGGAATCAACGAATAGAACTTTTCTCGTAACATTTGATGGCGAGATGACCATAATGCCATTATTTACTTCAGCTGGAACTGATCAGCACGATCACACTCTGAGGCAGAACCCGCACAATTGATACATTTCACTGAGCATATAAACTTATTGTTATTTGTAAATATGAGGAGCATCAAGCATATAGCAAGTTTGCATAAGCTGATTGAGATACGTTTATCACAATTAGTAGGCACATTTCACCTACTGTTGTCGTTATAATCGGAGCAATCATACTAAAAAAAAAGGTGATATTGAAGAAGATCGTAAAAGAAGCAGAGAATACCTTCAGTTCAAAAGGGAACGTAGTTAACATCA